TGAATGAACGGTGACAAGGGGAGCCACTGAAATACGTCATAATTTAAGACAGAAGGCAGCCAAAAATATGTGGATAAATGTAACCATTGTATTGGCTTGTACGGCCTGTAAAATTTCTATCCACCTAACTCTCGTCTTAGAGGTCTTCCTTCTAAACAGTGGAATCAATTGTGGCGGATCCATACAAAAAGGAGATGGCACCAGAGTCGAATTCTGCTCCTACTGGAACTCACCAACATAGCTTGAAACACTGGATAGCTGATGTGCGAGAAACACTATACGTCTACTCTTTAAGAGTGCATATATCTCTGAAGTTTCGTGAAATTCGCGTCGGTCATTAGGAACAAATGCTCACACACTGCTTCTCGAACCTTCCGCACAGACGGACTCCACTGACAGAGTGAAATCTTGATCTTTCAGTAAGTTCCTGTTTCTTGAAGGTAGTCGTGGGGGGTTGTAAAATCCACATTCAAATCCGCATGAAACTTAAATCTGCATGTGGAGGTTTTCTGGGAGGAGATCTCTCTATCGTAGACAAGCACTTCGATCAATCATGATGAGATAATGAATCACATCTGACTGCTCTAAGTGTTTTATGCCACCGCCAGATGAATATGATTTCGGTTCACTCTGGTAACGCGCACTATTCATTGAAATGTTGATGAGAACTTATTAGCCTTCTAGCTAAAATACCTATAGGCTGCGACGCCGTAGTTTCGAAGCGCGGAATGCGTACCGAATACGGTGATATTTTACATGTAAGCTAGGTAGCCCATGTCAACCTAGATAGTGTGCACTTTTAGCTCATCAAGACGTGGACATCGAACTCACTTGCCCTCAGAACAAATATGAATAATGTGAAAAAGTCTTTTTCTAGTGCTCTAGAAAGAAGCATATATTTATTCTTTAGTGATCGAGACTTCGAGATTTCGGACCCTGACCCACAATATTACCAGGTTGATTTCCTTATTGTTCCTACATTCGGGAAGAAATAAAAGCGCTTTTGTGGGCCAAACAAGGCGAAATATGTTTCTCATGGAATGTAGACTATCACAAACCCTGACAACCGTATCAAATTATGATCAACCCCGTTATGCTGTTCTCATAAGGAGAGGAATGTCTACAAACTTAGGAATTAATGACATATTTATGGGTGTGTAACGGAAAGGTTGCTTTCGAAGCGTGTCCGATACAAAATAAGCAGGCTATCACTAAGGCATTCATTAATTAAGTGTCGTATCCGCAGAACTCCTAGCTTCGTCCAGTGGTGGAAATATATATGAGGTGGAAATCTAAACATAATTGCACGAACGATTCGTAGCACGTAAATCCACCCAAAGCGCAGTTCACTAACTGCCAATGTGCACTGTCATATTGGCAAAATTTAGGTCGTAAAATACACCTATCTCCTTATGTAACCATATCACGAAACATCCCCATGATTTATCGGAGCAGGTCCATGGAAACAGAAAAGCGTGAGCGCCTCAGATATGCATACCTAAGTAGTTTATTATCACACAACTGTTTTCAGTGTCTTTTTACTTAGTTCCTGGAGTACAGCTTAATCAATGTTGAGAAAAATCACCGGCATCTGGCTTTTTTACATCGGGAGAATAACAATAAACAAGATAGAACTGCTGAACACGCACAAACTTATTGTCGGAAAGGTGCACCTGGTGTGCTATTTCAGGAACAAACTGTAATCTCGTGCCGTTATAAATGCCATCAACGACCGGAATTTGCCATTTGCATCCGCTTTCTTGGTTTATTACTAGCATGCAAGTAAACAACAACGTTTTATGTTTCCTGGAATTTTATCTTGTCTATTTTCGACCACACCCTTCGATTGTGATAAAGCGACTTGGTTTTTGTAATTTATGTATGGCTTCTGTAAGCGTTGAGTAAAGATTCCTTTGATTCAGGGTTGGTTCGATTTGGGGGAAGGGATTTCGTCCTATAAGTAAAGATGACTATGCTGAAATCCCGGGACGGTCCCCTCCTCTTTAGTGAGAATACTCGGGGGTGTGCATCTGAGAAGACTCGACCTCTAGGTGATCTACAGGCTAGTAGCTTGAACATTTAGACTTTTGGCGACGGCTGGCTGATTGGCACTGTGATTAATTGGCACATAGACGGGAAGGTTTCTCGCAAGTCTATTTACATATTTTTGCGACACATATTAGATTCGACAAGTACAAAAAGGATTCACAATAAAAAACGCCAAACACGCGCGTAGTCATTATATGTATGCATATATTAGCTAATAAGAATGTTACTAATGCTAACCTCTCGTCATATTTTATTCCACTAGTTACTGTGTGCAGTCCGGCCGACATTAAAGCACGAGAGAATAACCACGTGACACAGAGCGGAGAGATGAAACACGTGAAAACAGAAGATACAAATATTTAAGGGACTAAGACATGGTCAGGCCAAAAAAACACGAAACCAGTAAATCCTATGTTTGATGCTGCACGTACAGAAATGAGGAGATATGGATATATATATATATACCAGAGAAATTATTTCATGTCTGCCAGAACGTCTACCTGATTTATGGTAGAAAGAGAAGATGGTGGAATAGTATGCTTATATTTGCATTTTGATAGACCTCTTGTTTTTTGGGAAATTTTTTTCGAAGGCAGTTATGGGATTTCCGAAATCCTTTGCCAGATAGATCATGTTGCATATTGAGTGTTTACTGGGAGGAATATATACTATTTTGAAGTTTTAAAAACATCGGAATAATATGCAAGCAAAAAATGCGGAATCTCATTACTGTCAACTGTTCTGGTGCCACAAGTCTCAATGCCAGACCTCAGTTCAAAGGTAACGCCGAAGAATAAGAGCAATTTCAGTAGACGGCATTCAGGCCGACAAGTTCTCTGGGGACTACTCGCTGTGTTTTCTGGAATTTTTCGTCTTGTTCGTTAAATTAGCTTTGGTTCCATTTCAGAACACGCTGTCAGTTCAGATCAAGGGCATTTCGGGTGACAAAGTATCATTTAGTAATGATGGTCCTCTTCAATTTGCAAAAGCGCATCTGACTGACTAATTAAACTTCTTTATTTTGGATTGATGATAGTCAACCCATTTGATGGTGTTGGAAATACAGCGTTTTGCTGTGCTGAGTATAAGCGATGACATCAGGCAAGGGAAACTCCAATGTGAGAAGGATCCTCCATGAATCCTACAGCAATAAAGACTAAATATCACTTTCTGTTGATTTCATTCATTGATTGAGATTCTCAATGCATGAGAATACAACTTTCCAGTTGAGCAAAATCTGATCGTCAAAGCCGTTTTCGTCTCTTAACTGTGGGTTTACAATAAGAATAATATGGCTGTACAAAGTTCCTTCCCAAATCCCATACGTTTGTGACCAAACCGCAATACATTGGAAAAGTGAATGGATATCAACACCACCGATCAACACATAGAATACTCAGCTGGTTAATATCCTACCATTTTATGTCACACCACGTCGCTCAAGACTACAACCAGTGGATCACAGACATCTAAGCGCTTCCGGTAAGAAATAGTTCCGGTCATTCTGACATAAACACAACGCGAGATTTGCATGCAACACTGACGTCTGTAATCGGTCGGCATGCGTTCAACATTACAACGCTTCGTCATTTCATAACTGGATATGAAGTTTGTGTGTGCAGTAAAAAACCAGCGTAATAAAATATGGGTTTTACAAAATAAAACGCACGTTTGTTTAATGCTCTTCAGATTGTCCCCAATGGTGATTCGTAGTCTAGTGTTTAATGTGTTCTTGACTAAAAAATCTTGGGTTTGCCTGTGCAAAGTCTACCTCAAGCATTGGGATTTTGGAGGTATCTATCCGCCCCCTGAGACATGCTCACACGTTTCCGCAGGAGAATCTGGATCGAATCTTTACGGACCAGCACCAAACACCATTATGACCTCGTTCGAGCAAAGACCACCTAACTGGTGAGCCTGCACAAACGTTCCATCTATCATGCAACATAAGCAAAAGAAATGCATCATCAAGAGAGACATAAGCTCCTTTCTCATATATAGAACCCTTTGAAGAGAGTCTTGATTCATGACTCTGAAATTGAGCAGCTCTCATTAAATAAGTCGGTTCGTTCTCATGCCAAAGGATGGCATTTTGAAAAGTGAGATTGTCCTGTTTCTTGCAGTCTTTCTGTGGGACTTGTCCATTTTGTCCCATATTTTCGCGTTCAGTTTACAAGATGTTAACGAATGCCTGTTAGCCGCATCAATTTAAAGCCGTTAGTTTGGCGAAACCTGTCACTTACGCTGGGAGACAGGTATGATGTTCTCAATCCACGTCGAGGCCTTCTAACAAACACAAGGGTTTCCCCGTCTGAAAGAACCTAAAAGAAGTCGCATCAGTGTTTGAATTGAATGCCTTACGTGATACTGTTGAAAACCGGTCCATTTGGCCACAGTAGGGTCGTGCCACTGATAGCGTAGATGAAAGAAGCTGCTAGACCGCATTGAAATACACTCCTTTTTTAACAGATAATTAATTTTGTGTGCTGTTGAACCGCGTTCAGTGTACAGTCGACGCAGTCGAACTTTGAATTAGTCCAGTGCATTGTGAGTCGATGGTAATGTGCTGATTTCCCATTTGATAAGCACCCCGGTACGACTGACTGAGTGGACAATGCACATTCAGGTAACTGACTCGATGTTCTTGTTTTTCTCATGCATATAAGGTCAAACCGCTTCCATCCGTGTTCGTAAGTTAACGTTAACCGACACAGCGGCAGCAACAACAACACTCGCACGTTCACTTACACGCAAACTCGCTGGCACGTATTCATACATGTGCACAAGGTCTCGACTTCCAAACAAACACCGAGCAACCCCTGTCCCATCCACTTAGCCGAACGCCTGAATGACGCACGCGGAACTCGAATGCGTGTACACAGTACCTGGGCAAGCCTCTTTGTGTCGTGGTCGTAACCGGCGCATTAACGCCCATAGGCAACGTCTGTCCAGCTACATGTATTGTTTGTTGTTGTCAATTTGTGTGCGTACAGATTTGTGTGACCTGAAGGTACAGGAAGAAACTGGCAGCGTACACAAGGCAAAACGGGTTAACATTTAGTTCCTCATCGCCGTCAGTCTAAGCCAGCTGTTCAATTGCCTGTCACTGTCGGTAAGTCATTAAAGCTACCTTTGTCGTTTGAATTGATATGGTTTAGTCCATAGTTGATAAGCGCTGCCCAAAAAATCACAGATAATTTAGCCAACCATTCAATGTTAGGAATGAAGTTAGTTGGAAATGCGATGATGCTCGGTGTCGATTCATTTCACTGGTTCTGGCTGAGGGCTACATTTGGCATCTAGACTAGATAGCTCAGCAACTCGGTGAGAGAATAGAAGTTAACGGATCTCCGTTAAAATCTGTATGACCATTTATGATGTCTGATTGCTAATTTACGTTTGGGACTTTATTACCAAACTGCATGCTGGTACTGTTTTGGAAACAGCCGCAGCTGGCCACCGTTTCTGTCCGTTTTCCACAGAACAACTTATAAATGATTTTTGAATTTTAGTTAGGATTTTCACATCCTTCGAAAAGGCGCTTGGGGGGCTTATGCAGGAATCACCGAAGTACATCTTTATTCACCTCAATCTACTTCGAAAAAAGAAACGGAGATAAGGTGTTTTTGACTTTTTTCACGCTGAACATTGAACCTTGACCCCGTTATAAGAAATTCAAGCCAATGGAAAGGAGTGAGATATTCATTACGTGAAATCACCCTGGGAAGCCATTAGACGAACAGTCACTGGATGAGCAGTCAGCCGAATGGACGGTGCCGTACACTTGCTGCAACACCAGTACAAGATGCAACCGCTGAACATGTGACTAATGGGCCCTGATGTACAACGGGAAATCGGTAATCGATCAAAGAACAGTTGCTGAAATAACCGGCGTAACTGCTTGTCACAGAAACCCCGTGTTTAGTACGCTGGAGTGAAGGTGTTGATCTGCTGACCGAAGCCAAGTGTGGGTTAACCAGGTTTTCAGTATTTTTCTCAATGCTAAACTAAACTTGCACCAATACTGGCGATGGCTTCCGGTTGGACAGTTCGCACCCCACTCACTAGCTTGTTTTAGCGTGTAAGGAGCTGAAGATTGTGTATATCTTCGCAACTACCTCAACGCCATACAAGTTTAATGGGAGATCCTCCTAATAATTGACCGACCATATGCATATGAAGACTTCATACCAGGTCGAAAGAAACGATAATCCTCTTGAAAAATATTCATATATTGGGATATTATTTACTGTGTATACACTGTAATCATACAGCGGCGGAAAGACGTACAGGATTAGGTGTAGAAATTTAGTTGGGACCTGCAAAATACGTAAATGCGTTTCTTCAAATGTTTTTGTGGCTCATGGAGCACCGCTCAAGCCTTACAAGAGCAGTCATGATGCCGAGGTTCGCTTCTAATCGTGGGCCTTTCTGTCATTAAGTTTGCTCTTTAATCACTGAGCTATCTAAAGCTCTTCCAGTATGCAGAAGGCTAGCGGCCGATCCCTGTCCGTGGAAGTTTTACCAAGACATTGTGTGATAGTTAACGGTGCAACTCCATCAGCTAGTTTCTTTTTGGATCCCTTTTGAGCCTCGTCAACATGTGAAAAATTTTTCTGTTTGACACAGATAATGGGCTCCGTCAGCAAGCGTGCAGTCACACCTTGCTAGTGCAATAGCAGTTTTATATATACTGCAGGTGGTCACACGACATTTTCCATCGGTCAAATTATCACACCAGTTGTTTTCCACATTAAAGACGACACTGACCAAACAAAGCTGCAGTCGCTAGTTCCTTTCCGATATGAACTGGATCACCTGTGAATAATCACTTTTCTGCTGAGGCTGTCCATTCAGAAACTTATGAATTGTTCATAGCATGCGGCACAGATTTTATGTAATCTCATTGGCCCAAGGAACTGGTTTGGCAGTTTTGAAACCTTAAAAAATTCTCAAATTTATCACACAACTCAGCGAAAAACAATGATGAGAACCACAAAATAGTTGTAACTCAGTCGTGTTTTAATAGCGTGGTGTGAGATGGTCTCATCCTAGATCGAACACTTAGCACTTGTTTGGAAATAAAACCAAGTATGGTTGCATACGAATAAGTTTGTAGTGGTAATGCATACGATATTGAAGATTTCCGAAGCTCGCGTGTGTGCCAATTACAAACGGAACGATCTGCTTCAAACAGCTAGACATTAAAATGCACCAGACCCAAAGTCAGGTCCGTTACCTACACTCTAGGTTCCGGTTCCCTTGATTACAATTGTTCTCTGGTAAAAAGCTTGCTCATTCACAGGTTATGCTTGAATCCCTCCCGAAGAAAAATTTCGCTTTCGATTTCGCGAGCAGCAAAGTGTAGATAGCATGTGGTCTCTGGATAATATAACCTTGAGGCATTTTGGGTTCATTCCCAATGCAGGCCAATCAGTCCTTGTTTGGTAAATGAGCAGCTAAAATTCAGCTCGTTCATTCGAATACGCCAGGAGTATGTTTTCATGTACTACCCAACAAGCAGCATAAAAGTTACTCTATTTTGGAAATATTCCAGCGTTCACGGTAATTATTATTATAGGTTTGCCGTTTCCTAATCACGTGCAATTATCCTCGACAAGCTGATCAGTATTTTCTTCCAAGTGACTAAGTGTATGTCCTGAAAATGGTTCATCCTGACGAATGAACGTGATATGTGACGCAGTAAAATAAGCATCGTTTCGCAAATGTCACCAGTTCGGCAGTTCAACGCTGCAACAGCTGTCTTTTCAAACTTTTTGGACAGCTTCAACGTGTTACATTACAGCTCTAAGACAAAACTCACAAACATTCATTAGCAGCGGAAATAGTGAAGGGCCGGTGACTACAAATCAAATTAGTCCTTTGGGATAGTCAGTTCGATACACTTTACCCTCCAGCAATTTACCGAATAAAATACGGCAACCACATCAAACTACAGAAGGGGAAAATGCACCTATATAAAAGAATACAAACGTTAAAACTATGTGGAACGCTGGAACCGGCCTTCGGTTCCCCAGTTTGGACTCCATCTGTGACAATGTTACTTTTGAAAATTGGACGTTTGTAAGTAGGGAAAAGAATATGCTACATGAAATAAAGCAAATGATTTTAGGTTGACGGTTGCTGTGAGGACCTTTAGGGGCTATTTTAAATATCACCAGTGATGTGAATTAAAAAGAGGTCATCAGGCACTTCTGCAACCTCAATACCTCGGTATGTCTTCTACAAGTTGGAAGTTCAAATCCAGGGAAATGCAACGCCGGATTGAACACAATTGATTTCAGAGTTCTGTCACTTCTTATGGACACTGAAGCAAATAGGGATTCCTGGGGGGTCAAAGTTCACGATAGTGAGTGACAGTGTGATTTGATTTGAGGGTTGGAGAACACAGGTGTTTATAGAGGGTAAATGCTGTTAACCTGTGTAACATGTAACGATGTCTGGTAGACAGTGGACGATATTTCAAAGGCTCATACGTTGAGGAAGTCGTCGGAGTGCAAGGAGAGCGACACAGTGGGATAAGGTAGGTGATACACACTGGTTGTCCTGTTCCCCTTTCGATGAGGTCACGCAGACAGCTGCACCCTGTCTCGGGGTCAAAACCTGACAACTGAGGGGACCGCCGTCGAGGAAGAATTCAACGCATGACCACCTGATGTGATTTATGTGATTAAAGGTTGAGTGTCCAATATCCCGACCACGTGCGAGTTAATTACACTGCCCATCGGCCATTCACGGCTAGACGGTTAGGTATTCAAACCATCAGCCGAGATTTTGATACTCCCTTGGGTTTCGCGAGACAAGATTGCTGATGATTCCCAGGAGGATGAAACAGATGAAGGTGCCTCTCAACATTTCGACATAGATTAACTTAACTCACATAACGAACTCTCAATTATAGATTCTGAATTCTCCTTACAAGAACACCAAACTGGGAACAACCTGCCACTTAGCTGCTACGGGGCTTCAGCATCACTTTGGCACGTATCTTTCGAAAACAAGCACACTGGATCGGCTCTTTCGGGAATAAGGGATACTAATTTCGGAAGAAGCAGTTTAACTGGTAGCCTTAGACAAATTTTCTCCATTCTTCCGAACATGAGGATGGATGGCATTTCATAAACTTCATGAGTGAATATCAACGGAATCATTCCATCTTTTGGTATGACTTTGCACCTTCATAGTGCAAAGTCATGCTTCAGAGCGTGCCGTCTGCAAACATATCCCTTACAATTCAAGGAGAATCACTGGAGATTGTGGACAACTTTACATATCTCTGACGGAAGTGTGTCTGATGAAGTCAGTGCAAGAATCTCAAAGGCTTGAATCACGTTTGCTGATTTGCGTCACTTTTGGCGTCAAAAGGGCATATCACTGGATCTTAAGGGTCGTGTGTACCAGGCTACAGTAAGGGTTGTGTTACTCTATGGGTGCGAGGCATGGCCTCTGCGGGTAACTGATGTGGGGCATCTTCAGGTTTTCGATCACCGACGCCTCAGAAGCATGGCTGGGTTTGGATGGCGTGAGCATGTTGGTAACGAGGTGATTAGTAAACGGGTATTTGGTTGTGCTGCAGGCACCCCAATCTGGGCAAACATCCAGCATCATCGATTATGATGGCTCGGTCATGTGCTACACATGCCAAAACACCGTCTACCAAGACGAATGTTGTTCTCCGTGCCTCCTTCAGGATGGCGCAAACCACCAGGTGGACACCAAATTACTTGACGGAAAGGTGTGAAAGAGATCACGAAGACTTTGGGTGTTATTGGTGTTGTACGCCTTCTAGGATGGGGTCCCCGTGACCCCGTCTGTGCTTGGCTGGAGACGTTGCAAGAAATACCGGATACTCGATGTCAGTGGCGTTCGTGCTGTCAGTTTCTTTCAAGATTGCCTGATTGAGCGATTGGAGGTGTAGGCACCTCAGAATGCTTGACACAGGCCTGCACTAGATCCCCTCCCTCACCCACTCTTTTGCTCTTCTCTTCACTGTAGTGCTTTTAGTATAATTATATATATATATATATATATATGTATACATATATAACTAGGCGAACCTTATGGTTGTACGGCAGTGAAGCATCAATGCCA